GGCTCCTGCTTCTGCACATCACGTCCTCCGGGCCGGCCTGCTGACGCCCGGCGATGTTCGAGGGAGACAGCACCATTTCCATGGGGACGCTGCGCTGCTGAGCCCGTCACTGCTGAGACGGACCCCACCAAGCCCTCGGAACGGAATACCCAGCTCCAAACCAATAGAAGCAAGCAGTGCCCAGAGCCCAACTGCCCCCTGCTAGGAACCTCCCAGCCTGCACACAGGCCCAGCACAGCCCCGTGAGCTGGGCATGTGGCCTTCCTGGGGGGCAAGCAGTGAGCACCACCACCACTCTCTCTGTCTCTCTAACTCTGCTTCTCAAATCCATCAATCTTAAAAAAAGAAAAAAGCCCCCAAAGCCAGCATCCCGCGTACCGGCTACGTGAGGCTGGCCAGTCTGAGTCTTGGCTCAACTCGAGATGACCTAGTCGCAGGGAGGTGGGGGGAGGGGCTCAAACTTGACCGCACCTGAGAAAGGCCCCTGAAGCCTCGTCGGTAGGTGGTGGTTACTCCTAAGGGTCAGCTTTGCAGGAGGAAGTTCTTATTCCTTAGCACCAAGGAAACGTCCGTCCCCAGCTCATGCCTGGGAGAAAGAATTCAGTCCTCTATTTCCGTCTGAGCTGAACCTTCTGTGACGGCCATGAATGCGTCAGGTGCACGTCTGCTTAAAGTCCCCACGTCAGCTGCAACTGCGGGATAACTCAGAGGCTCACAGGCAGCCCTGTCTGGGTGCAGACAGGAGGGGGCCTAACACTTTGCTAAAGTCCAAGTCCTGGCACCAGCGTGGCAGTATTCTAACGGACACCGGTAGCCACACTGCACGACAGCCGTATCCTAACAGTGCCCTCGGCGCAGCTACTGATGCGGCTTCCTGGAAAATTCTCCTCCACCCCCGGGAGCCAGGTGAGTTCTGTGGCATCCCCGTGACCAGCACGGACGGAGCAAGCCAGAGACGGCAGTGCCTTCAGGAGGTGCTGCGGCAGGGAGAAGGGATGGTCCAGCTCTCCTCCGCGGCTGCCAGGGTTCTTGGAGAGACCCAGGCCTTTCACGCGGACGCACGTTCTTGCCCTAACTCTGTTTGCCATCACTAAGGGTGCTTCTCCTTGCAAGGAATAGGAGCCGATCCCAAAGCCTTCTCGTCCAGCGGCACAGGGAGACATCGTCCCAGCCCTGTCCTGGAACCTTCGTCCGCTCTGGGGCGGACCACCGCCCAGCTCCAGCGGGCTTCCCTGCGCGGGCTCACGACCGAGGTGTGGTCTCAGACTGGTGCTCAGGGCTCCGCGGACGGCACATCCATGCAGAGGAACCACACGCAACAAAGCGGAGCGGCTACGCTTTCCCGGCCAGTTCTGACCAAACCGAGGGAGGAGACACCCTGCATTCAAACAGAAGCCTGCTGCAGGGAGCGGCCACCCACGGCTTAACTCGTGGGGGCCACCTGGGCTGCGGGGCCACCTGGGCTGCGGGGACCACCTGGCTGCGGAAGCCACTGCCCTCTGCCGTGGCCTGCGGGCGTTTGCTGGACAGCCCCGAGGGGCAGCTGGGAGGGCCTTTCCCATGCCCAAGTCAGCAGAAATGAAGGGCACCAAGAGGAGCGGTTGATGTGCCAACCGTCACAGAAAATGCCCGTGGCTGGGTACCCCTGGTCTGCAGGGCCCAACCGTGGGAGCCTGAAGGCGGCCCTGGGGCATTTAAGAGCAAGGCAGACGGCTCCTGCTCCACTTCCCAACCAGCTCCCTGCTGTGGCCTGGGGAAGCGGCAGAAGACGGCCCAAGCCCTTGGGCTCCTGCACCCGCGTGGGAGACCAGAAGTTCCTGGCTCCTGGCTTTGGGTTGGCCCAGCTCCAGCCACTGTGGCCATTTGGGGAGTGAACCAGCAGACGGAAGACCTCTCTCTCTTTCTCTCTCTCTCTGCCTCTCTGTAACTCTGCCTTTCAAATAAATAAGTAAAAATCGGAAAAAAAAAAAAAAAAAAAGGAGCAGGACAGAGAGCACGCGGAGCGAGCTGCAGGTCCAGCCGCGGCCGACACTGCCTCCCAGCGGCTGTGCCGGCGCTCACAGGGAAGCCCTGCCCATCCTCTCGCCCTGACTGGGGGCCTGCCACCTCCCGTGGGTTCCTCAGGCAGGGCACTGCGCCTCCCTCCCAGCAGAGTGAGGGCCTGGGACGGCTGTGTCAGCGCCTGGTGTGCCAGCGCTTGTGGAGTCAATCAGAATCGAGAGTGACTCGTAATTGGTAGTGATGTTACTTTAGACGTAGCAGGACACTTTAAAAAGTTGCCGGGGAATGGAATTAAGAGATAAGCTGGTTCTGGTGCCAAACATCTTCAAATCCATGCATAGTTCTTTTCATAATGCACATTTTCTATTCACTTTTTGAAGATCCCTCATAGACTTGGGTTTTAAAATTATTTTGCGCCACAGTGAGGATTAGAGGAGTGACTCAGATGCCTGCATCCACATCAGAGTCGCTGGGTTTGATTCCCGGCTCCGGCTCCAGATCCTGACTCCGGCTTCCCCCAGTGCAGAGCCTGGGAGGCACCAGTGAGGGCTCAAGTCACTGGGTCCTGGCGCCCGCACGCGAGACCGGGGCTGTATTCCTGGCTTCCAGCGTCAGCCACGCTCCCGAGTCAGGAACTCAATCTGAGTCTCCCATGTGGGCGGCAGGGGCACAAGTACTTGAGCTGTCACCTGCTGCCCCCCAGGGTGTGCATCAGCAGGAAGCTGGGTCAGAAGTGGAGGCGGGACTCCAGCCCAGGCACTGGGATATGGGACGTGGGCAGCTTAAGCTGCCGCACCCCCACGCCCTTCCCCCCAAACTTCCGTTTTAATTCCATTTCCCGGGGTTTTCTGAGGTCCTCTTGTCCGAGCCAGGTCTGTCCCCCTTCCTCTCTGGGTCCCTATTACTTCACGGCCATCCCGGCTTGGCTTTCCAGTGGACGCTGGGCCCACGTACTTGCTGTGCTGTGGGAACCAGCGGAAATCTGTAGTCTTCCCACCACCCACCCTGGTGGCTCCGTTTCTAAATACAACCCAGAATAGCGTGAAGACACCCCGGGAACCTGCCCCACGGGAAGAGATCTCGAGCTGAGGCTGGGAGTACGGCACAGAGGTCCTTCATTAGGCTCCCCGAAAAGTCTCCCCACCCCTGAAAAGCCTCCCCACCCCCATTAGAAGTCTCCCTGCCCCCCAAAAAGTCTCCCTGCCCCTCAAAAGTCTCCCCATTCCCGCAGACAGCTGCGCCCCCAGAAGCCCTCCCGGCACGCACGGGAGACTCCGTGGTGAGACCCAGACACAGGCTGCTCCTGTCCAGAGACCTGAATGAACCCTGAACCAGCAGTCGGGGAACTGTGCCAGCCTCAGGCCCATAGGCCGGCGACGGCCCAGGGCCCACCAGGTCAGCCAGGCTCCCCTGCAGATGACGGACACAGGTAAGTGAACGCCAAGGGCACTGTTAAAGGGAGAGTAACCACCTGAGGGTCCCTGCGGGTGTGAGGAGGGGTGGCACGTGGGCCCTCCTTGCACGCCTACTACATGCCGCTGGCTTCAGCCGGCTGACCAGGTCCGGCTGGGTCCCAGCTGCCCAGCAGCCTGCTGGAGGCTGGGGGATGGCAGCGTCCATGCGTAGGGGTTGGGTGGGAACGCGCCGGCCACCCTAAGGTCACCCCCTGGTGCGACACGGAGAATGAGTGCAGGTGGAAGGAGTGAGTTCCACTTACGCCAAGCTCCCCAACCCCAGAAAGGAAGCCTCGTTCCATTCAAAGTGCCCGAGGACCCAGGTGAGACCGGCACGAGCTTCGACCCAGCGCTGAGCGGCCGGGGTGTGCGGAGCCGAGGGTGCCCTTGCTCGGAGAGCCCGGGGGCTCTGGCCTCTTCGCCCCATCCCTGGCCTCCCCAACTGCTTGTCCGCTCTCCCCTCGCCAGCACTCCGGGCCTCACCGTGCCTACTGGAATTTACCAGAACTGACTTTCCAGACCGCAGGGACGCCCGAGGCCTGGGACCACGGCAGGCCCACCCACCCGAGGGCTCGCCCCCTCGAGAGCACTGTGACACTCCAGGAAAGCCACTCTGCCCACGCCAGCTCCTGGGCCCCTCCCGTGGCTTCCACCTGGCCGAACGGGCAGCCAGGAGACAGCGGGTACTTGGTTCTGAGGAAGCTTCAGATTCGGACTGACCGGCCTTTCCTGTCGTGGCCCTTTGTCTCTACAACCCGACCACCTGACGGCCACACGAGAACACCCCGAGACAGCCAGGGAGAAGGTGCCGTGGTTACTCTGACGAGCGCTGTCCACAGGGTGGACAGGCGCGCGTGGCTTGGTGACCTCATGCCAAGCTCAAACCCGGGTACGCAACACCGGGGACTTCTCTGCTGGCTCAGCGGGGCCCACGGACCAGGGAACGTGAATGAGCAAGCAGGCAGCTCAGGAGGGGCACCTGTTCTCCAGCCAACGGTCACACACACCTCTGGCTCACAGCCCGCGGGACCCAGGAGGACAGCAATGCCCGAAGCCGGGACCGCCACCGCCCGAGGCTTCCTGAGCCGGCTCTGGGCTCAGACGTGCCCCAGGCTGCTCTGGAGGGGCTGTCCCTCACCCACACGACACAGCAGTGTTCCCAGGTCCCGTCAACGTGTGGTGACCCTCCTGTGCTGCACACCCAGCATGCCCGGGGCTCACCGGGGCACCACCCTTGCACCTGGCCACGTGAGAGTCAGATACACTGTGGAGCCCACAGCTCTCTTTCTCTCTCTCTCTCTCCCTCTCTCTCACACACACACACACTACAGCCGCTAGAGTCCATTGTAGGAGCTGATTCCTAACCGCCCCTTTGGCATCCCCGACGTCATCTCCTGTGGCGTTAACAGGACTGTCTCACTGCACACATTCAGTGGCCCCAGGTGCCCCGGCCTCTGTTAAATGTTTCTGGGTGTGGACGTCGGGGGCGGGGTGGGGGCGTGGAAGACGGACGCGAGCGTGGCGGTGAAGCCACGGCGGACTCACCAGCACCTCCTGGACGTGGAACATCTCGGCGCCGCCGGCCGACAGTCGACTGGGGAGAGAGAGGGTGACGGACGCCGCGGGGAGGGTGCTCGGGCCGGCGTTGTAGACCTGTGGGTGTGGAGAACACAGACCCCCACTGCACCTCACGTGGCACGCCCTCACGTGACCCCCATCGCGCACGGAGACCGGGGCCCGGATGCAGCAGGTCCAGACTCGTGGTGAGATGACACAGGACGGCCATCCGCCCGCCGCGCATCTAAAATCGCAAGCTTTCAAACCGCCCGCCTCCTTCTCTTGTCCTCTTCCTACCAGAAATCACACTTCTTTCACACACTGGAGACATCCTCGTAGACTGGCACGCATCCACACTGCCACTCAGGGGTCACAACCCAGGGCACTGCGTGGCGTTCACCCCGGGGCCGTGGGGCTGGGTGGAGCTGCAGGATGTGTGTCGTGAACAAGTGCCCAAGTGCCCAGGACACGTGGATTCTGCTGGCCCGGCCCAGTGACCGCCCCTTGAGAGCCACGGACACGGTCTAACCTCTCTCCTTTGCAGGAAGTTTAAGGCGACTGAGACCTTCAAAGGCCAAGTGAGCTGTCCCCACAGCAAGTGCACAGAGAGGGCGGTGGGGACACCAGCGGGGAGACTGGGCGTCAGGGCCATCCGCCTGCTGACGCTGCTGGCGGGCACCTGTGCGTCCAGCACCTCTGTCTCAGCAACCATCACCTCTCGAGAAAGGCAGGAAGAGGCGGCGGCTCCAGAGGCTCGGGCGAGAGGAGGCGGAGCGACGTCTGCACGCGACTGCAACAGCATGCGGATTACGAGGCGGGTGCAGGTGCATGTTTAGGGACAGAAGTGGGCTAGTGGTTGCTTAGGTCTGGGGACAGAGAATAGGGCCCCAGAGATGTCCACGGCCCCCTCTGTGGACCCTGCGAGGGCCGCGTGACAGGGAGAGGGCGAATTCAGGCCCGAACTGGAGTGGCACTGGCTTTGCTGTGGTGGCCTTGAGCCACACCTGCGTTATCCTCAGGGTGGGCCTGTGGAGGGAGCGACGCTAAGGGTAACAGAGTTGTCATGGAGGGGACGGGAGTTTCTAAAGGCAGCTGACGACGACGGCAGTGCGATTCTGTAGGCACTCTAGGAGCCATTGGCTTGGATTCTTTAAATGGGTGGACGTTAAGTACGCATCTTCATAAAGATGCTGTTTTTAATTTTATTTAGTTTTTCAACATATATTATGTATGTGAACGGCAGAGTTTCAGAGGGAGGAGGAGAGATACAGAGAGAGGTCTTCCATTTGCTGGTTGACTCCCCAAATGGCCAGCACTGGGCCAGGCTGAAGCCAGGAGCCAGGAGCTTCATCAGGGTCTCCCCTGTGGGTGCAGGGGCCCAAGCACTCGGCCATCTTCTGCTGCTCTCCCAGGTGCATCAGCAGGGAGCTGGATGGGAAGTGGAGCAGCCAGGACTTGAACTGGCGCCCATATGGGATGCCAGCATCGCAGGCGATGATTTAGCCCACTATGCCACAGTGCCAGCTCTAGATGCTACTTTTTAAGATTACTCATCTTTTATTTAGCTTTCATTTTTAAGAAAGACGAGTGGCAGATGGGTAGGAGATGCTGCTTGGGGGCCTGGGGGTGAGAGCGAGGGCTCGGCTTCCAGGCACCTCTGAAGTTGTGGTTGGCAGGGCAGAGCCGTAAATCTAACCAGGTCTTCACCCAGGACGGACGGTGGCAGCATCGGGCTCCAGCAGCTCTTCCCTGGGCAGCTGGGGCTTTATTTATTTTGCAATAGTTGCGCAAAGCCAAAAGAGATTGAAAAAAGAGCGGACGAGTGGCGGTTGCCAATCCTTGATTAAAAGGAACAGAACTTATCAAGAGCAACTGCGGGAGAGGCGAGCCCGCCGCCACTGACAGCCCAGACAGACAGCGCTGGGAGGAAAGTCCCGCCTCCGCTGGGCTCTGCAGGGCGGGCAGGGACGAGGGGTTCTGATTGGCAGTTCCTGTGGGCGGGGACTGTGTTCACTCTCAACAGATGTCGGAACGCGGACCCTCTGCAGAGCTGCCCCCGGGACGACCACGCTATTTTTCAAAGGGGGAAATACTTTGACTCTGGATGCCAAAAAGTCTCTCAAGGGTCGACGCAGTGTTGTGTCTCCATGAAGAAGCTCAACAGCACTTGGCACAGGGGCTGAGACTCCACTTGGGAGTGCCTGGGTTCAAGTCCTGGCTCCGCTTCTGACCTGCTCCCTGGAACGCACACCCTGGGGCAGTGCCTGGGTTCAAGTCCTGGCTCCGCTTCTGACCGGCTCCCTGGAACGCACACCCTGGGGCAGTGCCTGGGTTCAAGTCCTGGCTCTGCTTCTGACCTGCTCCCTGGAACGCACACCCTGGGGCAGCGGGCGACGGCTGACCTAGCTGGGCCCCTGCCTCCCCCGCGGGAGACCTGGATGGGGTCCTGGGCTCCTGGCTCTGACCTCGCCAGCCCTGGCTGCTGCGGGCATCTGGGGAATGAGCTAGCAGACAGAGATTCTCTCTCTCTCTCTCTCTCTCTTAAAAACACACTATGAAAAATATAAGGAGCGAGACGAGCACATCTGCGTTTCTTCCGTGAGCATTTGAGCAGAGTGTTTAAGTCACTGTGTAGCTTACGGCACAGCAGACGTTTGAAAACAGAAAACGCGCTGACGTGGAAGAAAGCCTGTGGTCTTCAGGTGATGTTAGGGGCATAAGGGGAGTAAGGCAGCCCATTCCTGACCCTGGCCCCTCCCCGCCTCCACTGTCCCCACCTCCCCAGTGACCTTCCTACAGGGTGACCGCGAATGACGACAATGACAGCAGAGAACGGGCGGGCAGAGAGCTCTGGGGGAAGACACTGGGCTTTGCCAACTCAGGGGTCCCTGTGCCGCCGAGGCAGCGCTACCCACCCCACAGGGCAGCCGCTGTCCCAGCCCAGGGCGCATGCTCCCCACCCCCACCCCAGCCGATCACTGGGCTGAGCAGTCGGGTGCCCAGGGCCCTCCAGGTGAGGAGAGCTGTTGGCCTGAATCCCGACTCAGTCCCTGCAATGGGAAGGTGAAGCGAAAGCTCTCCGATTGCTTTTTTTTCTCAAGAGGGTGACAAGGACCCCCCACTCTCTTTTGCATAACGGCCTTTC